CACGCCCTCGCACCGCCCCGGGGCGGAGCCCCAGGCCGCTGGCCCCGCCCCCGCCCCTGCTCTGGCCGGGAGCCGCGCACGTGCGCCGGGGTTCAGGACTCTGGTCCTCACCAGCTTCGGCCAGGCTCGCTCTGCTACCCGGACGAACCGTTCACACACCAAGGAGGTGAGAAGGTACGAGACCCCGCTTACGTATTTAACAGCTCTGGATTATGAAAGGGGAATCGAAAAGAATGAGACTCGGAATAAGTTGAAAACTACACTTTTCCGAAGAGTTACTTTGTCAAACGTCAGGCTGGCAAATACGTCTACAAAAACCCTGAAAACTGTGAAGAATCAAATGTCTTGGTTCTGATGAGTTCTTGGGTAATGCATTATGAAAAAACCCCGAAAGCTCCCCCAAAAGTAAATAATCTGTGCTTAGAGTTAGGAAGAAAGATTAGGGGGAGAAAAACAAGAAAATTCTTTACCTTTACACACTCAATTTTCACACCCCACAGCAAAAGAAAGAAGTTCAAAACGGCAAAGTTTCTTCTTAAAATGTGTATTTTCAGAATTATAATGCTTACATTTTAAAGTCTTAATACAATGGTTTTAGTCTAACAATATATTACAGAATAATGTGAAGAATGACTTTCATAGTAAACCATGAAAATGGAATTAATACCTGCAATGTCAAAGTCACCAACTTGTCACCTTTTCCAGTCACAGAATCCCAGCAAATCGTATTAATGATGCTTTCAGGTCTTATAGGCTGACGTAGAGGATGAATAAATTTAGAGAAAGGAGCATTTTCATGAAAAATCAAATTTTAAAATCACATAGGACTTATTTTAAAGATCACAGTTGACAGTAAAACATTTAGATCAGCCTAGTTTGTTCTTTTATAAAAAGTAGTATAACTTTTCATTTTATATACACACCCGGAGTGTTTCTTTAATTTCCTTTTATAACAATCTTATTTTAAATACTAAAGAAAAATTGAATAGAAGCCTGTGTGTTTTTTCTTTACTAATATATACACACCCGGAGTGTTTGTTTAATTTCCTTTTATAACAATCTTATTTTAAATACTAAAGAAACATTGAATAGAAGCCTGTGTGTATTTTCTTTACCAACTCTTTATGGGATATCTATACTCATCAACTAAGACTAATATAGGAACCTGACCCACCACAGGCTGTGCTGACAATGGAACTGTAGGTAGAAGTCAGTTTCAGATTAAATATAACAATTTCCACATTAGCATCAAAAGTTATAATTTTTCCAATCATAGGAGACCCCATGAAATTCACCAAAATTATAACTTGTTTTCTTTTCCACTTGCTAGCATTTACATGTGCCACAGATATTGTGGCATGCCTGCACATTCTTTCTTCAGATGCACAGTCTATACCTGGCGCCACAGTCGTTTACCAGCTGCTACCTCTTTACAGCAGAGCCGGCTTGTCTCACACACACCAGCCAAAAAAATCCAACTACAGGCTTTCAGTTAAAAAAATGATTTGAAGTTTTAGGTAACATTCTTCTTTTGTGTAAAAATACAAAAAAACAAAAAAAAACAGACGCACCCATGTAACTTAGATTGTAAAAGATCTTTTGGGTAATTAGGGGGATAAATTTGATTTCATTCAATTTCCAGAAAATAAGAAACCACCATAAACATTGTGGATTTCGCCTTTATCTTTTCCCTCTAAAATATGTATGTAATTAGAGAATTTCATCCTGGGATTAGAACCCAGACACAGGAATCAGGAGACCATTGAATCCCATGCCCTTCCAGAAGGTGAGCGAGAAGCTACACTGCACATCCAGGAAGGGTTTTTCCCAGGCTGTGGGGCTGACCACATACATGGGTTAGAGGCTCTTCTGACAGAATCAAATCTCAAACATCTCTTCATCCACAGGGCTTGCCAGATCTGTAGGGCAATCATCAGTTTTTACAGTAAAACAGACTTATTTTAGAAACCCTAAACTATCGTTAGATTTGGAAGTTCTAATTTGCCTAACTAGTTGACCAAGTTTATTAGTTTTAAACTGTACATAAGGAAGATCAATTTCTGAAAAGTTCAAACAAATATTTATCTTCTTTACACATTTTTCCAATTCCTATAAATGAGAAAGACATGGGGGGAATCACACCACCTTTATTGTTGAACGAGTTAGAAGACAACACAAGGAAGAGTGCAGACACCTACTCTGTTCTGATTCTGAACTGTGCCTTCTGACCCCACGCCTCTTGAGCAGGCGACGAGCGGGGGCCAGGGGCGGCTGCAGGAGGCTCCTTCTTCTCTAAGGCTCACACGTCTGAGGTTATTCACATGAGGCCCCACCCTCTGCTGGACCTGACTACACTCGCTTGTATTAATGGGGACAAGTTCAATCCCAACCACACTTTCCCAGTGAATTAAGAGTTCTCTATTTCATATGTACAAAAATACATCGCTTTGGAGAGCTGGAAAAGGTTTAATACATACAACACTTATTTACAAGCTGTGACTTTCACACTAGTAAAAACAAACACACGTTTATTTTGTCCTTGATTTTTGGTGCAACTTATACATAAACATTACATCAGTTTGTACTTTTAAAAATAATAAATCAACCATATGTACAATCAAATTTACAACCAAAAGCAAATTAATCTATTGGTATGGTATGACTGCAATTTAGTGGACCAGCAGAAAATATTCCAAGACTTTCGTTAGACTAGAAATACACTGAGAGGACCCTTCTAATCTTTATTTAAACCTCTTAATCTCTAAGATTTAAGGTGCAAAAGAAAAATATTGATTACACACAGTTACAATTACAGGTAAAGACTAGGTTTAAAGGTGAGAGAAAAACAACACATTAACCCCCACATATATAATGATAATTAAAATAAATATATATTTAATTCCAAGTGCATATGATATTCCGTCAACATTATGGGAAAAAGGGTTCCAGAAACATTTAATCCTAAACTATTTCAATAGCAAGTTGTTCCTTATGCCCTCGTCTAGTCTTCTTCAAGTACCTTCACAATGGCTCCAGCGTGTGGAGGCTCCAGGCCTGCCCAATGGGACAGCCCAAGGCACAGAAGGGGTTATGTTCCCTCCCCACCCCACCCCTCACCCACCCACCTGCCCTACAAGGGTGTTATTCTAGAAAAGCACAACTAGATGATCTGGGGTAAAGGACTGTGTTTCACTCCTCAAGAGATTCACAAATCCACCTGGTCCAGAAATTGGGCAGCCGTGTGACCAGAAAGGCACACGCGTGTCACTAATAAGACGACAAAGCCTGCTCTGTCTACCTGAAAGACACACGGACTTCCACCAAGACCGGCAGACAGAGGCTGCTCCGGCGAGAGACACTCAGGGATCCTTCATGAGCAGGGAGTGACGGCAGGAAGTGGGGCTCTGGGCACACTGGGGGACACGAGGGAGATGAAAAAACGACAAGTAATCAGACACCACAGACAACAGAGAAATAACAATGTAACTCAGCTGACCAGCTGTACGCGGAAATTCTCTGACTCGTCCATGGCCAGGCAGAATCACCAAGTCCGGTTCGAGCGAGAATGTTACACTGGAGAACAAACGAGTCAGGATCCCTGCGGGTGCGCTCACACCAGTCCGGGGCATGTGTCCACCCAAGGCCTGGTCATGTGACACTGACTTCCAGAACATGGTCGTCCTTGCTGGGGATGACCAGGATCTGCGTGCCGGTGCTGGAGTTGAAGACCTGGCCGGGCGGCAGCGCCTGGAGCCGGGGCATGGGCAAGCCTTTGTGCTCGCTGCCGGTGGCTGAGTGCACGCTGGCCCTGCTCCTGAGGCTGCTGCTGTCCAGCTGGTCATCCACCTGCTTGTCCACCGACAGGCTGTCATTTTCTATCCAGCTGTCTGCAAAAAGCACAGCAAATGAGACACAGGCTGCACCAACGCCGACCCTGTACCCACCCCAGGAGGAGCAAGCCACCCCGAGCCGACCTTCAGTGCAGAAGAGTGTTAACCGAGGCAACCCCCCTAACGAGAACCCCGTGCACGGGTCGTCAGAGGATCCATCTTAAGAGCAGGGGCCTAAGACCTGGAACCCTGAGCAGGTTTTGGTATTAGATTCCGAAATTATCATCAGGCGCCGAAAACAAGCTGTTAAGCAGCAAGCCTGTTCCCTGCAACGTTGGTTTACCACCTCTCCGCACAGAGCTCTCGCCCCCAGCGCTGAGTGTCAGCTTCAGCTTCAAGCGTCCTTACCGGCGTCCAGTTGTGAGGAGTGCGCGGAACGGTGGGGGAGGTATTTAAACAGCCTGACGTCCGGAAGGGGGAGGTAACCCGCAAAGAGGGGCATCACTTCCATGTGGACTCTGTGAGTGGCCTGAGCGGCCACAGGCATGGAGATGACACCAGAACTTTTCCCACAGACTGCCCAGTTACTACTGTTGTCGACAACTGAAACAGAGGGAGACCACGGCGGTTACTCCAGAAAAGGACACAGGAAACAGACACCGGTGCAGTGCGGCTCACCAGGCTACTGAGCTCGCTGGGGCTGTGCCAGTGGCGGCTGCTCAGTCTGGGGTATTTTCTGATGTTTTCCTGAAAATGAATGGTGTGAGCCTGTCACTTCAAACAAGTTGCCAAGATATAATTTGAAACTCTGATAAAAAATTAGGATATGGAGGGGTCGGCCCGGTGGCTTAGTGGTTAAGTTCGCATGCTCCGCTTCAGCAGCCTGGGATTTGCAGCTTTGGATCCCAGCACAGACCTACACACTGCTCATCAAGGCATGCTGTGG